TTTTTTGTTGTTGTTGTTGTTTCCCTTATATCTCTTCTCTATCTCTATATTTATAAGTAGAGAAAAGTGGTGAAAATGCCATGCCTCTATTTGGTCAGGGGACAGGGCAAGGTTGATGGGGGCGCCAGCTGGGGCTTATCCCCTCTATTTTTTCATCCATGATAGGCCACCGATTAGAGCTTAGGCAAGTGGGGACTTTGGGTCAGCATCTTTTTTAGTTTTAAGAGAGAGAGGGAGAGGAGTGAAGTCGGTGAAAAAATCTTCTTCTTCCCCTGCCTCGCACGTTTAAGAGAAGAAGAAAAACTTACATTATCATTCAAAACAGCACCGTTTCAATCCTTTTTTTGTGAACAATGCATGAAACGACGTTGTTTTGGGCAAAACGACCGTTTTATTTAAATGAAAATGACACCAAACTTATGTCAAAGCCTACATTATGTACCTAATCAAGCTCTTTCTAATGCAAGGCAAGCAATTTGAATCGATAAGCAGTGCTTTCTCGTACTAATCAAATCATTATTCATACAAATAAAATAAATGCTTTAAACCAATTCGGTTCTCAATAACCCTCAAATTGAAATGTTAACTTTTTGTGACCAATCAAATGTTATTTCATCTTTAAACCAAAAGCTTCAAAATGCTTTCATCACTTCAAGAACCTGTCAATAGGAATTCCTTGAATTGTTTAAAACAAGTTTATTTTGAACCAATATCAAAATGATTTATGTGGTTGGAATAACTTAGGAATTCCAGATAAATTTTAGGATAAGGTGGCTACACAAGTGTTAGAAGTTTTGGAGCTATATGCCCAATGCTCAATAGCATTTAATACATCTCATTTAGGGGTAGGAACAATAAAGGAAGTTGTTCTTGAACCCTTTGGTAATTTTCAATTTGGGTTTGGCTAGAAAGTTTTAAGGCTTAGGTTTTTTTTATGTCGGCAATGTGGGGTGAAGGGTTATAGTTTTGGGATGATTTTTTTCTACCCCTGTAGCCATCTTCAACATGATGAATCTCTTTTCTTTTTAGGTGTAAAAATTCTACCATTCTTGACATCTTGCTCTATGCGTCCACACACTACCACAGCATCAATAAATTGATAAGCCGAATTACCCATCACATGTTCGTAATATGGTGCTTCAAGTGTGTTGGCAAATAAAGAGACCATCTCTTTATCCGAAATTGGAGGATGGACTTGAGCAACTAATTCTCACCATCTTTGAGTATAGTCCTTTATGTTTTCTTTGTCCTAGAGAGCTTTTTTTTAACCTTAGACAGGCAAATAATTAAAAACCATAACCAAACCTTAGATTTTATCAGACATTAAAACAATGCAACCTACCTTAGATAGAGTGTATTTAGGGTGCTAATACCTACCCTTTATTCAACT